ATACAAGAGTTAAATTTTTTTTTTGATACATAATACAAGAGTAGTTAAATACACATGAGAATAGATTACCAAAAAAAAAAAAGAAATACACATGAGAATGGCCCAACGAAATATGACAATCTTTTTTCTCTTTTTACAATTTTGTTGGTAGACATTCTCTTTTAACAATTTATTAGTAGGTTGGAATAACATCATCGTCGCCTTATTTATCTTTAATGCGAATGATTTTTTTTATTTAAAACAAATAAAATCATAAAATTGATCGATAATATCATTCTGAATTATAATCCCATAAATACGTAATGATTATTTTTTCTTTAAGGGGTTCTAGAGAGAAAGAGAAAAAAAATAAAATAAATGGTGGTAGCTCAGTTGGTGCGTAAGAGATGAGTAGATGTGTGTGAGAGAGTATGTGTTCGATCCTCTTCGGTACCTTCTTTGAGAGGTGTTTAAAACTTTAATCCTAGACTCGCCCCTAATCGGACTAGTCGTGAAACAATGAATCGATTGAATATTTTCAAAAAAAATAAAAGAGAAAGAGAAAAAGGGAATTTTTTTTAATTTCAAATTAAGAGAATTATATAATATTTATAAAATGAATAAGAGATGATTAAAAGGTTTCATGATTATTTATTATTTTTTAAATTATTAAAATATAAAATATTTATTTGAAATAAAAATTTATCCGTTGTTCTCTTTCGAACCTTTTCTTTCCAAACATATTTTAAAGAGTAAATACCTTTTTTGGTCCTCAACAAATTTCACGATGTCCGCTTTAGTCCCTAGCAAATAAAAAGGCCAATCGTGGTCCGTAAGAAATTCAAAAAGAACCTTTTTTGGTCCTCAGCAAATTTCACGATATCCGCTTTAGTCCCTAGCAAATAAAAGGCCAATCGTGGTTTATAAAAAATTCAAAAGAACCCATTTTAGTCCTTTTAGGGACTAATATGGATCTTTTTTGAATTTGTGAGGGACCACAATTTCAACTAAATAGGTCCATTTTAAATTTCTTAAGGACCACGATGGAAAAAAAGTACCATTTTAAAGTTTGGACAAAAGAATTGCCCGGTTAAAGCTGATTGGATAAGTTTTTTCAAAGTAATGCAGTCAAACATGTTGCCTATGCTGACGGGACTAGTCACGTCACTGATATTGACGGGACTCGTGCCACGTCAGCGCCACGTAGGCAATCCAATTACCGCAAATCTTCGGAAGACCATAACTTGTGACTCGGGTATCCAAATCAGATGATTTTTTTTTTGATTTCACATAACTTTTCGAGATCTACGCAATGATACCTCATTTGACATATTTTATCTCCCACAAACATAGTTTGAATTTGTAACAATTGTATCACAATCACAAGAGTGTTTATCCATAAGACTATGTTTGTGGGAGATAAAATATATCAAATGAGGTGTCATCGCGTAGATCTTGAAAAGTTATGTGAAATAAAAAAAAATCATCTGATTTGGATACCCGAGTCACAAGTTATGGCCTTCCGAAGCTTTACAGTAATTAGACTGCCTACGTGGCGCTGACGTGGCACGAGTCCCGTCAGTATCAGTGATGGGATTAGTCCCGTCAGCATAGGTGACATGTATGACTGCATTACTTTGGAAAAACTTATCCAATCAGCTTTAACCGGGCAATTCTTTTGTCCAAAAACTTTAAAATGGTGTTTTAGCCCCACAATGAGCTTTTTTATTTATTAGGGACTAAAACGGGCATCGTGAAATTTGCTGAGGACCAAAAATGGTATTTACTCTATTTTAAAAAAGCCAATGAAGATTGAGGTACCTGATCAAACCTTCCACTCACACTAGCCGTTGTTTGATTCTTAGATTTACCTCTTTAGTAAATTATATATGTGTTATATTTATCTCATTTGCCATGAAATAATTAAATTTTCTACATACACAAAAAATGAATGGGTCTCATTTCTTTTTTTCTCTCTCCTCTTACTTATAGGTCTCACTTGCAATCTTATTTCTATAACATAAGATAATTATTTTTCTACAACATAAGAAAATTATTTCCCATTATATATAATTTCATTATAAACTTTAATGGGGTTGATGGTGTTTTTAGTCTGACAAGGACTATGTCTTTCGCTAATCTAAACTTTTATCTAAAAAAAAAATACATTAAAAAATAATTATAAAAATTTCTCATAAATTGTAATAAATTAATACTATTTTTGTATTTTTATAATGGGTTATATTTCTCTCATTTCACATGAGAGGAGTCAAGTTCCTACACACATAAAATAGAGGTGGATCCTATCTCTATTTTTTCTCTCATCTTTCCTGTGAGTCCCGCTTGTGATATTGTCTCTGCTGCATGAGATGATTCTTCTTACGTAGAATGAGAAAATGATTTCCCTTTTATAATTTAGCAAATATTGATTGAATTTGCCTTTAATAGATAAATATTTATTTTAACACTTTTTTAAAATATAAGAATCTAAAATCTCAGGCTTTGTTTGGAGTTCGGAGCATAAGGGAATGTAGGGGATTCAAGGGAAAGAGAGGAGAGGAAATTGAAGATAATTTCCTTCATTTGTTTGGGAGTTAAAAAACAGTAAAGGAGAAAAATGAAAGGTTAATGAGATATTTTTACCATTTTATCATTTTTAAAAAATTAAAATAATTACTATATTTTACAAATAAAATAAAATTTAATTTTTTTTTAAAATTATTTATGTACTTTTCATACTACTAAAAATGATCATATTTTAGATGGAATTTCTACGTTTCAAACGACGAAAAATGCATTTTCGATGGAATTTTTTTCATCGAAAGGCGACAAGATTTTTTATCAGTCAAAATTTTGACGGATATAAATTTTCGTCAAAAATTTTGACAGAAAATAATTCCATCGAAATTTTTGATGGAATTTAGTTTCTGTCAAAAGTTTTGACGAAAATGATTCTTAAATATTTTCGGCGGAAAAAAATTCCATCAAAAGTTTTCAAAGGAAAAAATAATTTTGTCGAAATTTGGACGAAAATTTTTTGTCAAAAAATTTGACGGAAATATTTCCTTCGGGACTTTGGACGGAATTTAAATTCCATCAAGAATTTTGAAGGAATTTGTTTCGTCGAAATTTTTTACGAAAATATTTTCCATCAAATTTTTTGACGGAACTGTTTTTCATTGAAAATTTTCAATAGAAATGTGTTTTGTCTACAATTTTGACGAAAATATTTTTTGTTGAAAATTTTGACGGAAATGCCTCCATTGAAACTTTCAACGTAATTTTTTTAGTCAACATTTTTTACGTAAATATTTTCTATAAAAATTTTCCACGAAAATGTTTTTCGTCGAAAACTTCCGATGAAAATGTGTTATGTTAAAATTTTTGATGGAAAAGTTTAGATGGAATTTAGATTCTATCAAGAGTTTTGATGGAATTTTATTTTCGTAAAATATTTCTGTAAATGATTGGACCAAATCTTGTTCTGTCTTTAATTTCATCTTTTTTTTCGACAAAAAAAAAAATTTGTCTCTATTTTTTCACGAAATATGATTTTCGTCAAAAATTCTGTCATTATTTTCGACAGAATATTTTCTGTATATAAATTCTGTCAACATATGGGACTTTTCTAGTAGTGTCATATTTAAAAAATTATTCACACTTATGTAGTTTTCACATTTTAATGCTAATGCTAGATAAGTAATTTTTAATACTTTTTCCCTCAAATTCTCAAATCTGTGGAACTTTAATTTTAAGGGTGAGAAGGGTTTTTGAGATTTTACAAAAATTCCCAATTTCCTTCCTCCTTTCTTTTTAAACTAAAAAACAAGGGAAGGTATAAATACAGGGAAAAATATCTGTCTTTTTAAAGAATATAACTTTTTGTTATTTTAGATTCTAATCGTTAATTTTCGTCAATCAACGGTTATAATTTATTTGTCAAACTTATTATTTAATTAGTTATTCGCAATAAATTATAACCATTAACTGACAGAAATCAATAATCAGAATCTAAAATGATATAAAATTATATCTTTTAAAAGAAAAAAATATTTTTCCCATAAATAAAACCCTCTATTTCCTTCTCTTTCTCTCCTAAAAGTATTCCTAAACAAGTCCATAAGAAATGACACAGTTGGTAAAGGAGATGTGCCCATGCTAGTTAAAATCTTAATTTATCACTATGATTTTATGTTTTTATAATTTTTTTCATCAAAACAATTTTACCAATATTCTAAACACTTTTTTTATGATTTTGCTACGTTACAATTTTATGTTTTATAATTTTTTATTCCTATTTCAATTTTAAGTAAAATCTCAATTTTAAGAAAAGTGGACTCGCCTGACTTAAAAGTCAGTTCAATTCCTTGGCGAAAGGACCATGGTAAAAACTTCATGAAAAACGAAAATAAAAATATAATAATCTAACTATAAGGCTTTAAATGATAAAAGCCTATTTAAAAAGTTAGTAAAATTATAAGAATCTATATATCAACTTAACCAAATAAAAACTCAAGAGATTTGACCGCGAAGGCTGTCTTTGATTTCATGGTCATTTACTTAATAATAAGTGACTATTTTATCTCTTAATGAAGTTTAAAAAAATTTGACAACTTCATTGAAAACAGAATTTTTTTAAAAAAAAATTATTTGATTAACCCTTAATTTTTGGGTTTGCTATTTGTCATTTAAAATGACATAAGTTATGTCATTTTAGGAGAGAGATAGACACAGAAAAACGAAAATTATATGAGAGAGAAAGTTGATGGTTTTTTTTAATTTAAAATTCAAATTTTCTGTATCTGTATCTCTCTTAAAATAATATAACTTTGTGTCATTTAAAATGACAAACACTTCTCCATATCTTTTTATAATGAAATCATGATTAGGTGGTTTCTCACAAGCATGGTACGGACATGTTAAATTAACTACCTCAACTCAAGGGAGGGACAGTGTGACACATAGTCCCCATCTTCCTCTGTGTCACTTCCCAAAATAGAAAATCAAAACCAAACACTGGGATCTGATACCCTCTCTTTCTCTTTCTTCTTATTCTTTTTTTCTTTTCTTTTCTTTTCTGTTTTTTTTTTCCATATCGTATAGCTACACTTTTTAGAACCTCTTCACTCCAAATCTGAGTTCTTAACTTCCTCTTATTACACCCCACTTAGATTTCATCCCAACCCAGTAAGATTTTTTTTTTATTCTTTTTGTCATTCTATGTTTTACTTGTTCACTCCCTTCACTTTCTTTGCTGATTTTGCATAAAGTTTGCGTTTTTGTTGGATCTGGAACATTTTGCAATCTGGGTTTGTGTGATTTGATATTTAATGTACTTAGATTCCACTTTGATTTGTTGTTGTTTCAATGAGTAGTGGTTGAATTATTAATAAGAATCAGTCCTTTTAATGCTAATGTTGTTTTCCATTGTGCCAGATCTGGGAGTTTCATTTATTTCTATGGCTAATGTTTTTCTTTTTTTTGTTGGTATAATGCTATGGCTAATATTCTATTTCAATCTAATGAGATTTTCAGAATCAAATTTTCAATTGTATATCACGTATTCAATTACCTGCTTTCTTTTCTTTACACGGGGTCTTTTGGATCCATCATTTTCATTGGTCAGGTGTCAATTTGCTTGATGGGTTTGTGGTTGGTTAGCATACTGATCATCATTGCTTTCTTTCACTTCTTAATTTTGTTATTTTTTGCTCAAATGGGATGTTTTAGTCCATAGAATTTGACTGAAAAGTTTAATGTTGTGGGTTGAGTTGTAACTTTCTGTTGGACTAAATTAAAGTAGCTTCTGTTATACTCTTTTTACATGCTAGAACTCCAGTTAGATAAGGCAATATTATCAATTTATAAATCTTGGATTCCAAGTTTTGTGGTAAATTGTTCTTGGCCATTTGTTTCTTCTTTGACCAAATGTTACTCAGATTGCTTTAACTTGGGGTACACTAAGCCTTTTTGATTATGTTACCAATTGCTTGCTATCATCCTTCTATTTCTTTCTGTATACCCTCAATGTTGTGGTCAAGCTTTCTTTGCTAAATGTCTTGCCCTGCTTACATCTCATCAAACTTTGTCATACTAGAAAAGAAATAGGTTTTGAATTGGTTTCTGTATTTGGATCTGTTCCTTGTTTTTATTCTTTCTAGTTCTATGATTTAATCAAGAAGATAAAAGAGTAATGGATTTCTCTATTTATTTTGCTGAATACTGTTCCCTTCCTTGCTTGCAGGTTAATCTTTGAATCAGTGTGTCAACAATATCTTACAAACCTTATGAGGAAGTTATATTATGCTATCTAATTTAAAATATTGGGGTTGCTAGTTTAAGTTGTGTTTTGGATGGTGAATTTGGTGCTTCTGAAACAAGACCTATGCTGTGATCAGTTTTAGTTCATAACTGAGCAGTAAGAAGAAGTATATGCTGTTTTGTATTACTTTCAACTGATAAATGTCGAGGGGAAGATCTGATGGATCACAAAAGAAGCGCTTAATTGCTTCCGTTTGTGTTGTGGCAATCTTTCTTGGTTTTTTATATGTGTACAATGGATCCATCTTTGGTTCTCAAAATAGTGGTTCTTCTGCACTTGAATATGGCAGCAAATCATTGAGAAGACTTGGGGTATCATATCTGGGTTCAGATGATGATGCAGATGGCAAGCAAGATGAATCTTCATCAAGTTTATTGCAGGGAGATGGGGAGGATGATATTGTACCAAAGAGTTACCCAGTAAGTTTTTGTGCAAGCTTAAACATCCTTTTTCAAGTGTCTTAATTGCATACATAATTATTATCAAATACAAGCAACAAGAGTCTTATTTTCATAATTAAAATAAAATTCATGGTTTCATTTCATATATAAGTAAACGTCCATAGCATCACCAAAGTGAAAAGAGAAAAAGTTAAACAAGATAATCAAATTCTTCATATTATGTTCATCACCATATTCAGGTTCTCTTGCACCTCAGGCTCAGATGAAATATATTCACCACCTGTACTGTAAAGGTTATTTAAATACATATCTTTTGATCCTCCATCTAGTTCAAGGTCATGCATATCATCCTAATGAGGCTCTACTTTTGGAACATCATCAATCTAAGGGTATTTTCAATGTTTTTTGTTTTTGAAGGTTTGTGATGATCGTCATTCAGAGTTGATTCCCTGCTTAGATAGACATCATATCTATCAAATGAGACTGAAGCTAGATCTTTCTCTGATGGAACACTACGAGAGACATTGTCCTCCTGCGGAAAGGCGGTTCAATTGCTTGATTCCTCCTCCACCAGGATACAAGGTAAAGATATGCTGAGACTAGATGTGATCGTCAACTTTAACATATCCACATTGATACATTTGTATCATTTTAGTCATTGTCAAACATTTTGTTACCGCTCTGGATTATTATAAGGTAAGAATTACACAAATGGGGTAAAGGGGAAGATGGAAAGGGAAGGAAAATGAAAGAAAGAAAGATTCTTTATTGATTAATAGGAAAGAGTACAAGGACATAATTCAAGAGCAAGCTCTTCTCGAGGGGCACTCTCCTTCACACTGAGAGACTTCTCAGTCAATTGTACAGTACAACCCTTAAAGATGGTTATGACAGAAAGAATATCCCCCTTATATAGTTGAGGGGCTATCTACTCCTAACAACCTAACCACCCAACTAACTAACTGCCTGACTCTTATAATATTGGTCTGAACACATTTGTTGTTTCTATGGTGTTGCAGGTTCCTATTAAGTGGCCACAGAGCAGAGATGAGGTGTGGAAAGCAAATATACCACATACTCACCTTGCACATGAGAAGTCTGACCAGAACTGGATGGTTGTAAAAGGTCAAAAGATAGTGTTTCCTGGAGGAGGGACTCATTTTCACTATGGAGCTGATAAATACATTGCATCAATTGCAAAGGTAAGGCTTACTGGTTATCCCTACAAAGCAGAATGAAATCATATATGTATTATGTTTTTCAATGGATAGTATCATCAGCTTTTATGTGTGTTTATGCAAGTATCTATCTGTGTTATGTAATATGCATTGATATGATACAGATACAGGCCTTTTCTTTACATCAGTTAATAGGCTTTTCAGTATCATGTTTGACAGTGTTGGTTGTTTGATGCGTTCACTTTCATTTCATGGATAAGTCTGTATCTCACAGTCAGTTTGTATTGCCAGATGCTCAACTTTTCAGACAATAATCTTAATAATGAAGGAAACCTGCGGACAGTGCTTGATGTTGGCTGTGGTGTTGCGAGTTTTGGAGCTTATCTTCTTAAGTCCGATATCATTGCAATGTCCTTGGCACCCAATGATGTGCATCAAAATCAAATTCAATTTGCTCTAGAAAGAGGAATTCCTGCATATCTTGGTGTCTTAGGAACTAAGAGACTCCCTTACCCGAGTAGATCATTTGAACTTGCACACTGTTCCCGTTGTCGAATTGATTGGCTTCAAAGAGATGGAATACTACTCCTTGAGCTAGACCGGTTACTTAGGCCAGGAGGTTATTTTGCATACTCATCTCCAGAAGCATATGCTCAGGATGAAGAGGATCTAAGGATATGGAGAGAAATGAGTGCCCTTGTGGGACGTATGTGTTGGAGAATTGCTGTAAAGAGGGACCAAACTGTTGTCTGGCAAAAACCTCTGTCAAATGAATGTTATATGGAAAGAGAACCCGGTACTCGCCCTCCTCTTTGCCAGTCTGATGATGATCCAGATGCAGTTTGGGGAGTGAACATGGAAGCTTGCATAACACCTTACTCTGACCGTGAGTCACCTTTTTCTCATGTGTTATAAGTTATTTAATGGCTTTTTCATTTTATTTCTATGCCTTCTAGTTATTTCTTTTTTATGTATCTGCTAATTGTATATTTGTTCAGTGGTTTCTATGGTTCATTCTGGAAATATGAGTTCTCTTTCTATTATTGCTATTCCTACAAGTAAAAAATGAGGGTTGCTTGCATGCTCAAATTCTCTCCATGAACTACCACTTGTTAGAGCAATATCAAATTATGATAACTGCTCATAATTCGTAAACACTTAGTGACCATTTAAGTCAATTGTCATGTTATCTCCTATAATTAGATTGAGGAGTATCCAATGTTCAAGAGCCACCAGGTGAGTTGATTGGTACATGATCATTATGGGAAAGAGTAAAAACATTGAATTATATGGCTGATTATTGCTAGAGAATGACCAAAGAAGAAACTATGATATTGTGGCAATGTATAAAATGCTTAATGTATAATAATAAATTACAGGCTCATGTAGACAAACAGTGGTAATATTTTCTCCCTCTCTTGACTGCTATTACAATACTCATTAGTCAATCTTGTTGTTCTATTGTAGTATATCATCCATGAATGACCTGTTTTGAGCTGATGCTGAATGCTCCTAACTGAACCCTTAATGTCTATTATTTGAAATATTTCATTTTTTTTCCCCATCTTATGCTACTGTTTGTACAAGTTGTGCAATTTCTTTGAGTGCTTGTAGCCTGTTTTCCAAGCAGCTAAACCGTGCTTCTTCTTCTTCCTTTTTTTTTTCAAGTTTTGATAAATTAAGAAAACAATTTATGTTGAGATTTAGCCATGTACAAGAGCTGTGGGTATGAAATTTTCACCTACTGAAACTTTTGTTGATTTTATCAGATGACAACAGAGCAAAGGGTAGTGAATTAGCTCCATGGCCTGCAAGATTGACCAGTCCTCCTCCTAGATTAGCTGACTTCGGCTATTCAAGTGAAATGTTTGAAAAGGACACGGTGATTGGAATTTGCAATTTATCCTCTTGTTACTGTTTTAATTAGATTTTTGTTCCTGTAGCATATAAAATTATTGAATAATAACAAAGATACACTTAGATAAATAGACTATAGGCTTAATTTTTGTCATTTGGTACAGGAACTATGGCAAAGAAGAGTTGAGAATTACTGGAATCTCTTGAGTCCAAAAATCACATCAAACACGCTGAGGAATGTGATGGATATGAAAGCAAACATGGGTTCATTTGCAGCTGCTCTTAGAGACAAGGATGTTTGGGTGATGAATGTTGTAACTCATGATGGACCAAACACACTTAAGCTTATATATGACAGAGGCCTCATAGGGACTACCCATGACTGGTATTGAAGCTAGATTTCCTGAAATATAATTTTATTGCATCTGTAATATCTTTCTATGCTTTTGATTCATTTTACCTTTTTAGCCTCATTTGATGGTATCTGATTTCTTGATTCTTGTTTTTGTTTTCTGTACTCTAGGTGTGTAGTTTAACATTATACAGAAGGGCCTTGTTTTATACTGCTATTCTGATAAATACCACAAAATTTTGTCTTAATGATAATCTAGTCGATATTGAATAGTATTTTTTGTACCAGAAAAATTACTTTAATTATAATCTTAAACAAACAATGTTAAAAGATAATTGTATGAAAAACATTATTTTCAATCAATCAAGATAATGGATTTATGCCTCCAATGGTTTTACATATGAAATTGCATTTTGAATTTAAATATTATCTTGCACTGAATTCCACGGCTGGTGTATCAAATAATCTCTAGGTATTAATATCAATAGTAGCAAGTAGCCTTCTTGAGTGGATTCTTCCTTCTTTTTTTTTTTTTTTTTTTTCTGATTTTGTAAGGATTTACAAATAGAAAATAGAAGAGGGGTTGCTCCTTGGTAACTTAGAGATCACAAGTTTGTATCCAGGAAACAGCCTCTTTGCAAACATATAAGAGTTAGGTTGCATATAAAGATTTCCCTCATCCCTACCCGCATAAGTCGGGATTTCTTTGGGAGTGGTTTTGTTATTGAAGGAATATATAAACTGCAGATATGAATTATTGCGTAGATGATCTTATTTGACCCAACTGATTGTGAGAGAACTTGGTGATTTGACTAAATAAGCTGTTGAGATTTGTTACTTCATTGGTGGAACCTGTTGTCTGTCATTGATTCAGTTGTTATCTTTTTATTAGTGGTTCCTCCTTGTATTGCTCGGAATCAATCAGATTTTAAATTTTGAGTTTGGAAGTATTTAATGGAGAATATATCTTAACAGGTGTGAAGCATTTTCAACATACCCCAGAACTTATGATTTACTCCATGCATGGAGTGTCATTTCTGACCTAGAAAAGAAAGAGTGTAGTCCAGAGGATCTGTTAATTGAGATGGATCGTATGCTTAGGCCTACTGGTTTCATAATCATAAGGGATAAACAACATGTGATTGATTTCATAAAGAAGTACCTAACAGCATTGCACTGGGAAGCAGTTGCAACTGCAGATTCTAGTTCTGACTCTGACCAGGTTGGCAATGAAGTTATTTTTATTATCCAGAAGAAATTGTGGCTCACTACTGAAAGCTTTAGGGATACAGAATAGAACAACCACAACCATATGGTTTTTTTTTATTCTTATTTTTCATTTCCACTCTTTTATATTCTCTGCTGCTACAAGGGGTCAAAAGCATGCCCCAAGTGTTGGAAGCAGTGAACAACTTCATTTTGTAGCCTTACATAATGTTTACATTGTTGATTTCCTTCAATTTGATTCTCATTTCATTTTCATTTATGTGATAATGTTGCAAGTTATTAAGCCATAGGCATTATGCTTTTTATAGGCTATTCATTATTTTGCCCTTCATTTGGGTATAATGTAAGCTACTTAATAATCAGCACAGTGTAGACTTTGTCTTTGGTGATGAAAGGTTAGGACTTGTCACTAATATGTAATATTTATACATGCATTTTTCTGCTTGGATATCTAATACATTTCTTGCTTTCATATCACAGTATTTCGTTCCCAAATTACAAGTTAAAACGGAAAAGCTGCAACTTCCAAAATCAATATATCTATTCCAAGATTATAAGATTTAATAAAGTAAATTAACAGACTCTGTCTAGGTCACACCAGGCCAAATTTGGTATATTTGATAGAACAGAAGAGATATGGATCTTAAAAAACTTATTTAAAAAATAGGTCATAAATTTACTTTGATAAGGTATGTCCTATAACTTAGCCTATATCAAATGAGTCACAGCCATGAGTGAGCATATATTTAAATATATAAATTTCCTAAAAGAGTTTTATTAAGCTCAATTTTTTTCTTGCTTCTATTATTTCAAAATGAAAAAACTATTTATCATTTTAAAGGATTGTCTTTTTTTATTTTTTATTTTTTTTATACCTTTGAGGTGAGTCGGCCCCTCGAATATCCCTACAAGTTCAACATTTTGAACTGGCTATAAGATTGATACCAAGTCAGAGATTAGTTATAGTTAAAACTTTTTGTTCTTCCTCAAAGATATATTTGTTCGAAATTGAACCCAAGTTATTTGTTAGCTTTTTATATTCTGTTTTTTTCACAAAATTAGGAGAAAAAAGAAAAAGAGATAATTACGAAGGAGATAAAATATAAAAAATCACAAATATGCAGTAAAATACATAATTTCAAAATGACTAACGCTTGTCATTCGCATCTAGTTTCTAGCAAGCCTTTCTACGAAGTTTTAAATCACAGGTTAATTAAGAAACGAACATGCTTCTTCTAAGATTCCCCGTATAGAAAACTTTTCCATTTCTTTAATGGGTTCTATAAGAGTTATGTTGTAGAAAGAGTGATTGTATAATGTTATAGAGATTCGTTTTGCGTGTATTTTTTTTTTTTTTTTTTTTGCTTTATAGAGTGTGGGCCCCACAAAATATTGTGTGTAGGATATTTTTTCTTGTCATGTTAAAGGACAAACTAAAACTCATTCTTTAATACATGATAAGACACAGTTGAGTTGAAACCATTAGGAGAAATATACAAGAAAAATGTTAGATGTTATAAATGAATTTTCGTCAAACAAACTCACAAATAGATAACAGTAAATTTTTTTTATTGTAGTTTATTAGTTACTCATTTATTTTTCAGCTTTACTTTTTTCTTTCTTGCCAGACATGATTAGTTATTAAGTATATAAATAGGGAAAAGTTATACTTACTACCTTTTAGTGTTATTACTTGTTACTACTAAATCATAACCGTTGATTTCTGTCAATCTAACGGTTATAATTTATTGGATCATACTTATTAATTAATTATTAATTTCTAATATATTATAACGGTTAGATTGACGGAAATCAATGGTTACGATTTAGTAGTAACAATAAGAGGTAGTAACTATAACATTTCCCAAATAAATATTCGCAACAACTTTCGTACAAATACCAATTGCTGAAGATACAAACTTTGGCCAAAATTTCTTATGCCATAAATGAGCTAGCATTCACTTTAATTTTGCATTGCTTGTAGCAAATACTTTTTTTTTGGGTTTATGAATGTTATGTTGTAGGATTTTTTTGTGTCATGTCACTTTGATAAATTTGATGTGAGTTCCATTCAAAAAGAAAAAGAAAAATATTAAGGTGGGCCATCCTTTTTTGTGAGAGTAATATGACACAAAAAATGTCATACGATATGATATTCATAAATTCCTACTTTTTTATGTTTAATATCTCTTTATCTTCTATATATACATATAAATGTATGGGGCCAATTTTTCTCTTTCTCTCTCTTCTTCTCATATTGATCCCATAAACTTTTACATATGTATAAAAAATAATTTTATCTCCTATAATATGTGAAACTTTAAACCCTTCTATTTTTGTCCTTTAACATTCACAAATAATAAAATGTTAACTCGAGTCAACACGAGGTATTACAAATTATTTGATATATATAACTTAATAAAAAAATAAAAAAAAAGTTTTTAATAAGAGAAAAATATTTGTCCTTCTTAAAGACAGTTATTTTAGTTAAAATTAGTATTTTTGTTTAATATTTAAATTAAAAAAATTTCAATTTTTTTTATTATAATTTTTGTTTCTTTCACCATAAAACACAATAATTTAGACTAAAATAACATAATTTTATGTTCTTTAAAAGGACAAACACTAATCCCTTTTAATAAAATTCTATTTTAAAAATCTAAGTATATATTTAATATTTTTATGCGATTAATGTTTGAATGTTTCTCATGCCATAAGAGATAACTTTGTCTTATGCTATCCCAAAATGATATCATTTTCGGGTTTAAGATTAAAAATAAAGGTCTTTTAGTAAAATTTATTATACAAAAGGAAAATAAAATTTTTAAAATACCATTTATTTTTAATCATAAACCCCAAAATGACATCATTTTAAGATTGTAGGAGATAAAATTATTTCATGTGATAGGAGAAATATTTTTCCCTATTATTATATATTGGTCCTTTATGGAGCATCGGAGGTAACTAATCACTTTACCACAATAGTATGGAAAAGTTTGATTAAGTTTTTGCAGCTAAAATTCTTAATTAGTTCCTAAAATCATCCTTAAAATTTATTAATCGTTTGTTTTAATTTAATCTCAATTAAACACATTGGATCCATCTTAGCACTTTCCATTAGCAAAATTGAGGCCGTTAGTAAAAAGGATGACATATAAACTATTTTGTAAAATTATGGACCACATTGATATATATATATATATATATATATATATATATATATATATATATATATATATATATTCAATTTTCATGACTTATATTAGCTTTAGTTGATCATTAAAATTTCGTTTAAACTTTGGGAACGAATTAAAATATAATTTTTGCCTAAAATTTTCATGACTTATATTAGCTTTAGTTGATCATTAAATCTGAAATGATTTAATTATCTGGTGTATAATTTAAGAGAACTTTGTTTTTGTATGAGAGAGAGAGAGAGAGAGAGAGAGAGAGAGAGAGAGCTTTGTTTAAAACTAAGAAAAAGTTATTGAAATATAATTAAGATTGAGTTTATAAAATTATTAATAAAATATAAAATAAAAAAGACAGTAAAAATAATATGTTTTTTATGTCTGAAAAAAGTCACTTACATATTAAAATAAATTAAAATGAACTTTTTTTTATTTATATTCTATTTACTCAACTTACATATAAGTATTGAATTATGTATATTTTGATGATAAGCTCAACAACGGAATTTATTGAAAGATCTTGGTAGGGATCAAAATGGAATTGGAACTTGCTTTGTAAGATGCTCTGTTGCATGTCTTGAAAAGAAACAAACAATTTTGTGTTCAATTTTGGTTTTAATCAAAATTGTGTGATAGCAAGAAATCCGCTAACATCTATTGGTATTGTCCCAAATCCCAGATGTAAGATTTTTGTCAGATGGCAATTCCCTTCCAAAGATTGGGTTAAAATGAATGTTGATGGTTCTAGTGCTTTGGTAATGGAATCATAGCTAGGTGTGGATGTGTTTTTAGGGATCGCACGAGCAGATCGATTCTTGGGTTATCTAGAAATATAGTCATTAAACTTGACCCGGTCATCAATCCGATCGAAGTATCAGGTTACTGGTTCAACTAATGGATTACTGGTTACCGTATGACCCGGTAAATATATACAAATTTACAATTTATATTTTAAAAAAACTATGAACATACTCAAATACCTGTAAAAAATGATATCAGTTCCAAATATTCCAATTTGAAAAAGAATAAATTACATACCATTGTCCACCAAAAGATCAAACAAACATATATTTGTCCTGTCCTAAAACATTTAATATCTATCACAAGTCTACAATAATAACTCTTGTTGCTATCAAGAGAAAACAAACAAATGAAATTGCTAGCACAAAAACATATATTTATGCCCAACTAATCCGGTCATCAATTCGGTCGAAGTACTAGGTCACTGGTTCAACTAATGGGTTATTGGTTCAACCGTATGACCCGGTAAATATATACAAATTTATAATTTATATTTTAAAAAAACTATGAACATACTCAAATACCTGTAAAAAATGATATCAGTTCCAAATATTTCAATTTGAAAAACAATAAATTACATACCATTGTCCAACAAAAGATCAAACAAACATATATTTGTCCTGTCCTAAAATCCAATCCATTCCAATTTTATTCTGTTTGGATCGGATTGGTTTTCGGTTTTTCAAAAAGTCTAAAATTTTAGTCATACAAATCACTACCTATATCAAAATAAAGTCATTCAAAATTACAAAGTACTGGAAAATTCAAGTCTTCAAACTAAAACAAGTCTTAAATTTTTTGAAGAGTTAAAATAGATTAACAGACAATAAAAAACTAAAATAAGAGAGTTTATTATCAATAACATCCAAGATTCCAAGTCTAAAACAACAGAATTCTAAGTTACCATGCATCAGAAATAATAAATACATAATACATTGAATTGGCTTGGATTGGATCAGTTTTCACCAACCAAACTGAAAACCGATCCTGTAAGAACCCGCACTGTTAATTAAGGAAATTAATTAATTAATTAAGTGAAATTAGGAAATAATTTCATAATTAACCCTAATAATTATCATGAGGCTTAAATAAATGTAGTAAGTGATTAAGAATGCTGAAAGTCGTTTTTCTGACGAAAAGTGCAGATACCGGTTCTGCTAGTCGGTATAAATGCGTACCGAAAAAGTATCTCGGAAAACTATAATAAGTGCATGATAATTCCTAGAATAATATATAGGACTTGTAAAATGAGTTTCAAGTTAAAATAATGAGAACTGGTGTCAGAAACTGATACTGGCTATAAAAAGCGCGTACCGAAAAGGTGCTACGAAAAATATAAGAAAAATGTGATAATTCTTGTAAA